ATCATTTGTCAGTAAAACTTAAACATAAAGCTTATTAAACAGTTAAGCATACAATTTAATATTAATCTCAAAGCTCGGCAGACAAAAAACATCTACAGTTGAATGAATTGGAGGAAATTATGAATGAAGCTTATAAACAGGATAAACTATATAAGGAACATATGAAAAAGTGATATGATCATAAGATGATGAGAAAATAATTTACACCCAAACAAGTGGTTTTACTATATAACTCTTGATTGAAACTATTTCCAAGAAAATTAAAGTCCAGGTGATCGAGACTATTCACAACAATGAATGTTTATCATTTTGGTGCTACTAACATAAAAAACAACTCCAGTTTTTAAAGATAATGGAAAATATTGAAATTATATTTAGGAGTTAGAATTGTCCTTAAAGAGACTCTAACTTTGGATCATCCTAACTAATAAACCTCGCACTGTTTGGCTAAGGACATTAAACCAAGTGTTACTTTGGGAGATAACCTAAGAATTATCCTGTGTTAATTTTTTATTGACTTTAGTATTGCTACATGTTTCTTTTGTTTTATATTTTTGAGTATTTGTGTTTTTGGATTTCTTAACTTATTGTTAGGTAGCAATATGTGTGATTAGGATATTTAGAACTTAGAGATTTTCTTTTTTTAACCATATACCTTACCCTCGGTAGTGCCCAAGCTTCACACTAGAACCTAGGCACTAGCCATTAGCAGGAGCCCAGATACTACACCGGTGTCTATTTGCTGGTCATTAGCAGGTGCTCAAGCGCCACACTAGCTCCTAGGCTCTTCATTAATGTACCTGGTGCCATTTCAAGCACCTCAGTCACCCCACTCTTAATTTGGATTTACATCTTTTTTTATATATCACACATGGGCCTTCTTAACCCTCCATTTTTGCTTACTCCCTCCATTTTTCATGCCTTAGCTGAAGAAGAGGGATTTCTCTTGCTCTAAGCATTAATAGTCATTGTCTTGCAACCCATGATCGAAGGAGAAGATGAAAGAGGAGGAAGGGCGACTAGGTTCCCTTACTTATAGGTGAGATTTTCATTCCAAGACTTTCACTCAATCATCTTTTCATTCTCTTCATTTCCTTTGTCCCCATTATCTCAAATTTTCACCATATTTCCTCATTTCATTACCCAATTTCCTCATTTCCTTGCCAAATTTCCTTCATTTCCATAATCAACTTCATGGTCCCTGAAACTAAGAATGAGAAAAAGCAAATTTATTTTGTCGCGATATAATGATTTTTTGGGGTCGAAGATCAAACATGAAAGATAATTTTGGGAGACAAAAGAAAGCATAGAGGGTGTAATCATAGAGATAAAATGGGATAGATTTTGTTATGAAATCGGGGTTGCAGTGATACCAGTTGTATGAGAATTCTATGCTAATCTAAAGGAGCATGATGGGGAGAAAGTTTTTGTGACAGATAGATTTTTGCTCCATCAAAATCAACTCATTTTTTGAGCTACCTGATATTCATGATAATTTGTACTCAGGTTTTATTCCTTTTGATATTGATCTTGATGAAATCATCAAGTTTGTTATGGATGGTCATGGTACATGATAATATAAAGATTATTTTCCCTATCGCTATCTTAAATGTTGAGTTCAAAGCTTTGCATCACTTTATATTAACAAAACTCTTGCCTTCAATTAATGTGTGATGTTACGAGAGAAAGAGCTATTTTGAGCTATGGAATGCACTAGGAGCAGCAAGTAGATGTAGGAAATATAATCAATATTTTTCTTTATAATATCCTTATGGGAGGAACTACAATCAGGCTATAACATCCATCTGTGAATTTTGCTCTGTGTCTGAGAGTGGGAGTGAATTTTGAAAGTTGAGAAGAGCAGCTTCATCTCCTTCAACCTATCTTGAAGAAAACTATTGGGACCTATAGAAAGACATTATTTGAGAGTGGTAAGAGTTCCTCCAGACAAACTCCTTATTCTTGTCCAGAGCCTACAATCTTGATTGCATCCTTTTATGAGCAACAAGATACCCTCTTCGTGGACTAGGGGATTTTGTAGTAGCAATTACATGACCTGATAGAGCTTTTGAGCTATTATGCAGACTAGCATTGGTGCTATTCTGAGTATCAGGCTCGATATCATGCATGCTGCCCAATAGGAGATGTATTGACACAACTAGTGGAATATGGAGCCATATCCAGTGGAGTTTCCTATTGCCTCATCATTTGAGTTTTGCAAGGAAATTACATGCCTGTAAATTAGTATGATGGGAATGATGATAGAGAGGAGTAGGAGAGATTCTTTAGTCCTTCCTAACTTTATTACTTGGATCGCAGTTTTACTTCTGTTGTTGATTTGAATTTTTTATCTATTTTAGTTGTGTTATGTTGATGTTGTTGAAGTTTTCCTGTGGAAGTTAATATTTTGTAATTTTATGTATGTGATGTGGTAGACAATACTTATGTTATGTTTATTGACTCAGTAGATATGAGATGCACAACTTTCATTATTCATGTTTACTTTGCTCTCGGTTGTTCTAGTTTTGATTATTCTGTTTGAATATTCACATTTACCTTACTATATGATTTATATTAATTAGTGTTGATTTTCACATGCGATACTTATATATGTCTTAGACTTGTTCTTTCATGTTCCTACATGTCTTATATAAGTTAAAAAGCAAGTTATGGTGCATAATATTTGTCGTTATCACCCTTTAAGCTAAACTAAAATTCTAATTTTAGAATTTATATAACTAAAAGGGGTCTGATTCCCTATTTAGGGCTGCGACGACCCTCAAGACATCAGCGATTTGACTCGACACCTGATCCATGATCTAAGTACTCCTCTTTTATATCCCCCGTTGCATTCACTCGTATATGTCATCTCGTGGGGGCTCTACGTTGACTAGTTCTCTTTGGGCACCCACTTTTATCTACGATCATCATGTTTCTCTTCTCGTCGATGGCATGACTTCACACTCACCACTTTTCTTAAGATGTTGACTCCAAAACTCTCAAGGAGACACGACTAAGGAATAGAGCGCTGAAATGAGGGAGGGAGGAAGGGAGAGAGAGAGAGAGAGAGAGAGAGAGAGAGAGAGAGCAAACAAAGAAATAACACAATATTGAATAGTAAATTTGTGTAAAATTTATTCATGAGATGGACCATCTATTTATAGGAATGATGAGTTATACAATTACATATTGTACAACCAGTGTATGTAGGCGCAGCAGGGACATTTGACTGGAAGGGATCAGGCAGCCGTAACGACCACTAAGTCGGGTGTGTTGGGATGGAAAAGCTTTTAGGAAATGACAAAGGCTAAAAAACAACTTATGGAAGAAGCTTCACTCTTATTTAACACCTTAACTTGGCTTGATACAAACTCAAAGACTCCACCCCTATTTATACTAGTGGCACCTCCTAAATTAATGGCTAAGATTGTGCCACCACAATTACAATCCAATGGTTACAAATAATTCCACACCTACCACACAATAATTCAACACCTACCACCCCTACCACACCTACTACACAATAATTTCATACCTACCACATATTCTAGAATAAGCTTATAGAAATTAAGCTTTATTTAAACAACTAAAACAAGTTTATATTTCAACACCCCCTCTTAAACTTGATTTTGTGACTCCAAGCAAACTTCTCATTTTAATAAAGTCTTCACTCTTCAGTGGCTTGGTAAAAATATCTGCAACTTGGTCTTGAGACTTCACGTACTGCACTTGTATCTCCCTTCTTTCGATGCATTCTCTGATGTAGTGATAACGCATATCAATGTGCTTGCTTCTATCGTGGAAAACAGGATTCTTTGCTAGCGCGATTGCAGACTTGTTATCAATACAAATCTTAATC